ATTTTTTGATGAAATGCTTTGAAACTCAGAATATAAGGATATATTAATAGTGTAGACAAGATGACATGGTCAGAATGCACAAGCATGCACGTGCGCGCATGCGCATTGATTGAAATAACCAATACAATTGATATAGACTTAACTTGTACATTTTTTGATGAATTGCTTTGAAACTCAGAATATAAATATATATTAGAAGTGTAGACAAGAAGACTTGATCAGCGCACACATGCATGCACGTGCGTGCACGTGCGCGCGCGTGCAATGGGTAAAATGACAGATATACATGATATAGCCATAACTTTCATATCTTTTGATGAAATGCTTTGATACTCAGGATGTCAGGATATATTAAAAGTGTAGACAAGATGACATGGTCATAATGCACATGCAGGCACGTGTGCGCATGCGCATTGATTGAAATAACCAATACAATTGATATAGACTTAACTTGTACATTTTTTGATGAAATGCTTTGAAACTCAGAATATAAATATATATTAGAAGTGTAGACAAGAAGACTTGATCAGCGTACACATGCATGCACGTGCGCGCGCGTGCAATGGGTAAAATGACAGATATACCTGATATAGCCATAACTTTCATATCTTTTGATGAAATGCTCTGATACTCAGGATGTAAGGATATACTAAAAGTGTAGACAAGATGACATGGTCAGAATGCACATGCATGCACGTGTGCGCATGCGCAATGATTGAAATAACCAACACAAATTATATAGACTTTACTTGTACATTTTTTGATGAATTGCTTTGAAGCTCAGAATATAAATATATATTAGAAGTGTACACAAGATGACATGGTCAGCGCACACATGCATGCACGTGCGTACGCGTGCAATGAGTAAAATTACCAATATACTTGATATAACCATAACTTTTACATTTTTTGATGTAATGCTTTGATACTCAGATAATATAGACATATTATAAATGTAGACAAGACGACATTGTCAATATGCACTTGCATGCACGTGAGCGCGCATGCAATGCTAAATTGACCAATATACTTGATATAGCTGTAACTTTTATACTTTTTTATGAAATGCTTTGATACTGAAAATATGTAGATATATTAATAGTGTTGACAAGATGAACCGGTCATCATGAACATGCATGCACGTGCGCGCGCTTGCAATGCGTAAAATGACAGATATACTTAATATAGCCAATTTTTTTTATCTTTTGATGAAATTTGAATATAAAGATGTATTAAAAGTATAGACAAGTTGACATGGTCATTTTGTACATGCATGCCCGTGCGCGCGCGAGAAATGCGTAAAAAACCCCAATATACTTGATTGCCTTATTTAATGAAGCTTACAGGGAATAAGACACCAAAAGGAAGTTGGGGAGCGTTTGGGGAACATCTGTAACGGTCCCCGTTACAATTAATACTAGTTTATATTGGATTCCGAAATTTCATAAAAATCCTTACAAACAAAGATACATAGCGGGTTCCAGTAAATGTTCAACCAAGCCTCTTTCTTTACTCCTCACTACGATATTAACAGTGGTGAAGGAGAAACTTCAAGAGTACTGTGCAACAATATATTCGAGAAGTGGTGTAAATCAGATGTGGATACTTAAGAATTCCAAGGAACTTTTGGAAAATTTGAAATCACAAGATTTTACCAAAATCAACAGCTTAAAAACTTACGACTTTTCAACTTTATACACAACCATTCCCCACGATAAATTAAAGTCCAGGCTTTTTGATATCATTGACAGCTGCTTTTTCAATAAAATGGAACTCGTAAATATACTTACCTTGTCATTGGTCATTTGCAAAATTATTTTGAAACATTCTGATTGTACACACAAGTACTCTGAAGTTGACATTAAAAAGATGCTTGAGTTTCTGATTGACAATATCTATGTGGTTTTTGGAGACCAGGTCTTCCAACAATCTATTGGAATTTCCATGGGTACCAATTGCGCCCCATTATTAGCAGACCTATTTTTGTATTCATATGAAGCAGAATTTGTCCAAAATCTTGTTCGTGAAAAGAAGAAAACACTTGCTGTGGCCTTCAACTCGACATTTAGATATATCGTCGACGTATTGTCAATTAACAATGGCTATTTCCATTCTTATGTCGATACGATATATCCCGGTGAGCTTGAGATAAAAGATACCACAGAGTCTGACACATCTGTTTCATATTTGGATATTTAACTTGAAAAAGACGTTAATGGTAATCTAACAACCGAGCTTTATGATAAACGTGATGACTTTAACTTTTCAATCGTCAACTTCCCTTACTTATGCAGCAATATACCTTCATCACCTGCATACGGGGTATATATCTCTCAATTGATTCGATACGCAAGAACATGCTCTACGTATGTACAATTTCTAAAACGAGGTAAATTATTGACCAACAAGTTGATGAAACAAGAATATCAGCTGTCTCGTTTAAAGTCATCATTTCGTAAGTTCTATGGTCGATACAATGACCTTGTCAGCAAATACAATTTATCATTGAGTCAAATGCTGACTGACGTTTTTCATAATTGTTAGGCCATTATTTACACACTGAATTGTCGACGGATTTTTCTGTCATTTCCCGATCATGACAAGGAGCACACGGCGGGTGTGACCGGTAGGCAGGGGATGCTCACTCCTCCATGGCACCTGATCCCACCTCTGATGTTTGGAGGTCCGTGTTTGTTGTGCTCCTATTTTGTATTGTTTAATGGACCTTTGAGCTTGAATACTGTTCGTTATCTCCATATATTTCATGCAAATAATTCAAATTTTATATTTTAAAATGTAACATTGAATTGCACACTGTATGGCGTCGTGCCCTGCAAAGATGCACACAAATTGAGCCAGCGCTGATCTTTTTGTACAGATGGCAAATACAGGTGCATTTCAGACCTAATTTCATGCGAAAATTGAATAAGAATGTTTTAATAAAATTTGTAAGACACTTTTGGTTCAAATATGGATTTTTTTTTCATTTTCATCTAGACTGAATAGAAAATCTTCAGCTACACTGAATAGAAAATTAGAAAAATATGTCTCATGCTTTCCGTGTACTCATCCTTTTACCTCGCATGCATTTTCCATAAGATGATCAAATTTTGTGAAAAAGAAATAAAAAACAAATTAAGAACATATCAACATTAGTTTCATTTCAATTTATAAAGAAGTTTCAACTTGTACATTTACTCGATGACTAAAAGAAATATTGAAAAATAATTTTGTATTGAAGAGGATTAAGTATTCTGGCACATTCTGACAGAAGTGACTCTGCTGCAGCTTAATACAGCTTAAAGGTGCTTAGATACAGAATTGAAGTTAACATTTTCTCAAATTTTCAGTAAGATAAGTTTTTTGTTATCTTTCCGTGTGAAATGCTATAGCAACATATAAGTCATGATATTATACAGAAAATTTAAGAAAATATTAACTTCAAATCTGTGTCTAAGCCCCTTTAAAGAAAAAAAACTAAAAAAAAAAAACTGCAAATTGGTTAAATGCTAAGACTTTTTGCACTCTATAAAAGATAATTGCATTATGAAAATTCTAGTTTCGAATTCAACTGTGTGCTTAATTTCTATATTTAAATTTTAAAATAAGTGATTGGATCCTTTCTATGATACTGGTATTAAAGATCTGCTGTTTTGGAATTTGGAAGAGTTTCCTCCAAGATAATGTGTTTTACAAACAGAAAATAACTTTGCTAATAATGTTGAACTAGTTTATGCTGAAAGAAGCATAATTTTAATTTTGTATGGAAGCCGGTACGTGCCAGGTAAAAAAAAATATTTATCTGCCGGCCGCCAGAGGGCGGCAGATAAGTTTCCAGCGGCCGCCAATTATTTGTGTGGCGGCCACTGAATGTATTTATTAGGCGGCTGCCAGATAAGTATTTGACGGCCGCCAGATCATTATCTGACGGTAGCCATAAAATTATCTGGCGGCCGCAGGATGTATTTATTTAGCACGGTACATTATTAAGAGCTTATTGAGACTACACGTTGAGAATCAGCGTTATGCTTTATAATAATTCCAGGAACATTATTGATAAATTAATTAAGTACTACTGCTGAGTATCATTGACGTTTCGTTATTCCATATTAGTGGTTTAATCAGGGTATCAACGGTAGATCACACACAAAATCTAACTTTTCAGGATGCTTCTCGAATTACATCGAAAATAATTTTGATAAAAATTCTGCATTGAAAATTCGAGAAGACATTTGAAGTTTTAATAGTTCTATATAATTCTGAGATAGAGATATTCATACTCTTTGTATTATTTACAGAAGTTGCAGGGACCAGCATTGGTGTTCGAATAGTACACTGTAGCTTTGCATCTATGTTCAAATAGGAAGTATTGTCTTGTCATCGGAAAGTAATTAATGTGGTAATGTGAATTTGCATAATTCTCCATTCAAAAGCAAGGAAAGGGTAAACAGATGAAAATTAAGTGTATTTAGTGTATTCTGAAATTCTGAAAGGGAAAAACATCACTGAATACTTCTCGATTGGCTCTGCTTGTCATTGAAATAGTCTTCACAATTCTTTAGGTCGATAAAAGAGAGACAAATCTCGTTTCGTCTAATGAATAATATAACTTATAAGTCTATCAAAGGTCTTGGGTACGTTTAATCCTTTAGGATCGTTTTAATATGGAATCAAAATATTATACATAAACGATGAAAAAAATGTCTATCACATGTCTACGAATTTATTTTTGAATATTTCAAAGAATCTTGAAGAGTAAATAGTAATATACGATAAACAAGAAAATTCAAGAATCATATTTAGCTTGCAAAAGGCAAAAAAATTCGTCTGTGTTTTAAAACTGTCTCTTAAACTTGAAACTCCGATAAGCACTTACTATATACATGGAATAGGTACTTATATCTGAACACCAATTCTTATCACATGTAGCTTCAACTAAGATTAGTGTAGTACAGGAATAATAGAAAAATAAAACTAACTGTACGCAGTACGTGAAAAATATGAGATTAGCCACGGGAAATCTGGCTGTGCTGTTAGTTTTTCAGACACTGAGTTTCACCGAGGAAAAAAAGTTTGTAAAAGTAGTCATAGAGAAAATGAGTTTCCTTATCTCTGTGGATCATGGTCCGTTTAGAGGGTTTGTATTTACATGTATTTGTCTGATATGGTGCAATATTTACAGACAATGACTCGCAAATTCGAATAAAAGAAATGAAAATGTACATGCATTTCTGATGGTATATGATAAGTTTCTACATCAATTGTATTTACTAAATACACTTAATTTTCATCTGTTTACCCTTTCCTTGCTTTTGAATGGAGAATTATGCAAATTCACATTACCATGCCGATGACAAGACAATACTTACTATTTGAACATAGATGCAAAGCTACAATTCGAACACCAATGCTGGTCCCTGCAACTTCTGTAAATAATACAAAGAGTATGAATATCTCCACTTGTGATCATGGTAAACTGGTATTCAATGTTAGATATCCCAGATATCCACCAGACCCTAAAGTAGCCTCCGTGAGTATCAGAAATAGTTTTGTTTAACCTTTTAAAGAGAATTTAACAATTTTTATTGGTCAAATCATTTTGTATTATAATAAAAAAATTCAATAAAAAAGCGGCGATTCCAAAGCAAATTTGCTCTTACATAAGTGACAGAAAACAGATGGAATACAAGAACTATTACAATTTAATTTCTATTTCAAGTTTACAACTTTTTAGTATTTAGTCTACTGCTCGAACATGTGAAATGGGGTTCATGGTATGATGACGAACAAACACCAAGATGCAGTTAAATATATATTAAATGTCATAGATCTATAAATAACTATAAAACACAGATTAATGTTAATAACTTCTGTGGTTTATTCATAGCAGCTGTTAATTCAAGAAATTTGAAATGCTGTAAAGAAATAATTCTGATCATTTAACTTAATACTGACTTAATACGAGGGTTGTCCGGTAAAATCGTGGACAAAAAGTGTTTATCGAAAAATAATGGGCGGACTAAGTCAGAACTTTCATCAAATTTTTATTTATCATATTTAAGTGCTCCTGAATTGTTTTCATAAAATATAGACAAAAATAACGATTTTGTTATGCTTGAATGTGCACAGGGCACGGTCCTACGGCGCAAACCAGGGTTTCATTAGAGAATACACGAGTATTATTTCGAAATAAAAGTATTAAATAGATAATTAAGATTGGGGTAAAAAATTATCCTTTTTTAATCCACTAAATATTTGTCGTCTTTTGGAAAATTTCAAGACATTTGCTTAATTTTTGGCAGTCTCCAGTGCATTTAAAATTGGAAAGTGGTAAACACAACACACGAAAAATGGCAACGTTTGATGACGTAACGGCGCACCAGAGAGCAGTTCAGTTTGGAAAGAAAATATAAAAAATATCACTAAATCTTTTGTATGCAAGTGAAATGGGAGTTTTCTAAGCGGAAATTTTTTGATCGAGTCCCCGGGTAGAACAAAAACATATATACGAACAAACAGCTACTGGCAATAGCGAAAGACGCTGTCACTGTACATAGATCGTCAATAAAAGATAGCCTATTTAGTTGAATGATAGTGAGAGTACTGTCCATAAATTACTAATAAATCTTCAGAAGTTTAAATGTATGTACGAGATTGGTTTCTGGAATGTTTATGGATGAATAAAGGGAAAATCAAGTATGTGCATCAATGAAGTTCCCTAATTTAAGTGGGGCTTATCCAACTTTTTTTATCAAAGAAGAAACGTGACGCTGCTTTAGACACTGACGTTATCATCCGTGCTCCGTAAGGCGATACCACACATAACGTAAAATCTCATATTTTGTTTATTTGAGCATATATCTATTTGAAATTTGCAATGTATATTGATGAAAAATGTACTAAATTTTAGAATGCAGTGATGATTTTCACTCTAGACAACTTGCTCACGATTTTACCGGACAACCCTCGAATAATAATTTACGTATATATAAAATAAAGCACTTTATCACATATGTCTATAAGGTAATGCAGAATAAGACAAAAAGTTGTTTAATTATATATAATTATGAGACTTAATGAATGTTTGATTGCTTTATGAATAGTATGCATAACTTGAGTATTGTCTGTAAAAATTCATAGCAAAACTATTTGACATACTATTATATGCCCTGCCTTTCTTTTTGTAGGTTGTGGATGTCTCATTCACGTCATTTAACGTCGACAATCCCCCTACCTGCAGTATTCCATGGAACGTTACCTATCGGTTTCCAACCGGACAGAGTTATTCATCGCTACCCGGCTGCTTCACAAAAGTCGTTCAGCCTGCATTTGATTTCTACCTTGAACATGCTTATTACTTTAAGATCTATGACTGGAAGGGACATCTTGAGAGTTTTGATGATGGCGCATAAATGAATTATGCAAAAATTACACAGAATTCACAATTATGAATGATGATTTGGACTGTAGTAGAATATGAACATAAAACTTCAGAGAATACTAATACATGAATGGAATTGTGTTGGTTTTGCATAATGAAAATCATATTCTTATACATCTGTTATACACGGAAAAAGGGGGAAAAATCAGTTTGATGTGATGTTTCTTTGCCATATGAACAAGTGTTTTCCCTTACCAGCAGTTGGCAAATCCCAAAAAGAAGCATAATGGACTTCTGAGCAAACGTAATTATTCTTCTGATAAATCATCTCTTTTTGCGCCTTTATTTGAATTTAAAGGCAATGCTGATGTGAGCCAAACTATATGCAAAATCTCGTTAAATATTGTTGGTATTCTTCAAATAATTGAAACCCGGTGAATCATGTGCAGAAATTATATACTATTTAACAACCAAAAAGTAGTTTTGCAATAGAATTTATATTTATCCAGATTACAGTATCAACATCACCTCCAATTCATCAAAAATGACGCAGGTCTTTGTACGTTGTGTACTCCTTAAAATAAGAAAATATGATCAAACATTAAAAAAATTAATTTCCAAAAATTCTTGAATCAATTTTTGCCAAATAAAATATATGAAATAATCATGCTGCGTCATATCAAGGTGAACAAATCACCACGTTATCTCTGAACTGTCGCGTTTCTATCAAGGGGCATATTTTGAACATTGGTTAAGTTATCGTTAGTCGTGGTAATTATTTTAGCATTTGTAGTTTTCGAAAGCAGCAATCAGAAAACTACGCCAAGAATAATCATAGAGAAGATGAGATTCCTTATTTCAGTCAAGCATGATGATCATATATTCCAAAGGTTGGTTTGTAGTTTTTCTTGCTTTTCTATATAAATATTATAATAGCTTGAATCTTATCAAAGTAGGGAGACACATTTTTGTCCATATGTACTTATTTATTACTGAACTCTTGTCTATTTATATTCTTATGACATACGAAATGATAAATGAACTAGTGCTAATTGTAACGGGAACCGTTACAGATGTTCCCCAAACGGCTCCCCAATCCCTTATGATGCCCCATTCCCTACAAGCTTCAATAAATTAGACAATACTTTTGTAATATAGATGGACGCTTTATTTTTAAGGGTATTTCATTGGAAAACTACTCCGATAGAGCCATATGGGTATTAGCCAATCAAAATTTCAGCGCATGTGCTTGCACATGTTTTCTACATTTTTCACATTTATTTTCTTATAGTGTCTCACAATACATACATTTGTGTTAAATATTAAAGAATCTCATTGAAAAATAAGAATCAGAATTCAGCATACGCGCATGCATGGCCTTGCATTCAATGTTGATAGTATTATAATGTAGGAGCTCTATGTGCCTATCCATGTCGTAAATTTCATCCTGTTTTGTTGAAAACCAAGGGAGTTATAGACATTTAAAGTTTCAACCAATCAGATTGCAGCACACCTGCATGCGCGTGTTTTCAAGAAATTTCCTATATAACATGTTGAAGCACCTTATAATATATACTAATATTCTAAATTTCAAAGTATTTTGTCAAAAAACAAGGAAATTACTGAGATTTTTGTATCAGCCAATCAGAGAAGAGCGCACGTGCATGCGCGTGAGTTCACGCTAATTTGACAATGTTATCTTGTCTAGACTACTAATATATCTTTATATTTTGAGTTTCAAAGCAATTCATCAAGAAATATAAAAGTTACGGCTTCATCAAGTATATCAGTCATTTCACTCATTGCACGCGCGCGCACGTGCATGCATGTGCGCGCAAAATGACCTTCGTTCCGAACACCTATACAACATGCCTATTAACCCTAAAAAGGTTTCATGTCAATCGGACGAGTGGTTCTATGAGAACACTCCCGGACAAAAAAGTACCGGAGAAGAAATTAGAAAAAAAGAATAATAATAATAAGAAGAAGAAGAAGAAGAAACAGAGTAAAAACAATATGTTCCCAAACTTCGTTTGGGGAACATAATTACTATTTAAACTTTAAAGTATGTCGTCAATAAATGGAGAAAAACACCAGGAAATAAAGCAAAACAAGCAAATTCAAATTCGTCCACATTTTCGTGTCTTATTGGTTGGGATGCAATTATTTATGGCATATTGTAACTGTCTTATCTGTCTGTTTTGTCTATTAGACAAAAAGATTTAAATTTTTGAATTCATTAAATTTACGACCAAGATTAAAGTATATTTTTCCTCACGAGCATTACTTGTGACAAGACCTTTCGGAACGTCTAAGAATATTTGACCACTTGACCTTAATCTTGAAGTTTGATGCAGCTTTTAGAAACTTTTAATCTTGGCCGTAACTTTATTTTAATCAAAAAATCAAATGATTGAATGATGGACATACAAGACAGGACACGCAGACAGACAGTCATAACAGTTCCGATATGCCATAAACAATTTCATCCTTACCAAAAAGACATTGAAAGCGGGAAACACCAATTCTTTGAATTTGCTTGTCGCATTTTAATAAGAGTTTGACCCATGTCAAAATATGTTTTCTTGCATAAAGATGTGCTGTAACTGCAAAAACTCCTGCCCTGGTTCCTGAAACAAAGCTGAACAAAACAAATCGTATTAATGTGTCTGAATGTGACAACGGAAAATTCCTGTTTGCTCTTAAACGTCCAAGTAATTCCTCCGATCCAAAAGTGACATATGTGAGTATTCAGTTGTATCATATACTTCTTAGTATTCAATGCACCTATTGCGATACTTGTGTTGTCATAATATCCTATAACTGATGTTGTATAGTGACCTTTCCCCCTAGCCATCTTTCCCACGGAAAACTAACTATATAATAGTTTTCCCCGAAAATCTGGCTACAAAGTAAACCACCCCCCCCCCCCCACCCCCACCCACCCACCCCCCGAAAAGCTGGTGCCATAATGGAATAATTCATACTTTTTTTTCATGTACGACTTTGTTAAATGATCAGCATATTCAGTTATATGCGTGTATCGTAGAATAAACCTTTAGTTCAGCACTCTGTGATGCAGATTAGCAAAATGTGAAGGTAAAATACCAAAGTTTAAACCACCTGCGAGTTTAAAATTGAGAAAATCCGAGCGAATGGCCGGATTGGAAGCAAAGGTTTGAACGCTTTTTAATAGCAACAAAATTACACAAAGACGAAGACATTCTGTTTTATATGTGCGAAGGGGAAGGAAGCAGAGCATGTTTTCAGATTGCTTACGTTTGATGAAGAAGGAGACACGATAAAGTACACGAAAGTGATAAAGAAATATGACGAATATTTTGTCCCGGAGAAAAATGTCATACATGAACGTGCACGATTCAGAGAAGAAAACAAGGGACTGTTGAGTCCTCAGATGCATTTATTATAGCATTATATGAACTAACAAAACATTGTGATTTCACAGACAAAGACAATAAAATACGTTATCAAATTGTAATTGGACTAAAGATGAAGAAATCTCGGACAATCTGCAGCTTAAATACACTAGAAGAGGTTATACGATATTCATATATATTCGTATATATTCATATACGAAATCCAAGACCAAACTACTCAGTTTAAAAGTCTGAATGAAGGTAAAAGGTATGGAAAGCAAAAATAATCATGACCAAAACATTTCCGTGCCAAACAGACATACAGTGACAGGAAACCTAGTATTCAACAGTGTGTTCGATGTGGCCGTAAGCATGGAGCTGAGGGGAGATGTCCAGCATGGGCCAACGTTGTAAAGCTTGCAACAAAACCATTGTGAAGTTTGTTCTCGCACCAAAAACACCAAATCGGCATGTGCAGTGTTACATGTTTATGACTCGAACAATGAAACACTCGATGAAACATTCCATTTAGGATCTATAAACTGTGACCAAACAGATGACCCCTTGATTGGAACCTTGAAAGTATGTGACCTCCCAGTAAATTTCAAGATTGATACTTGTGCTGATATCACCATTATAACAAACATAACTTTCAATAGGATTTCACATAAATCAAAGCTGACACGTGAACTCGCTGCTGCTGCGTCCTGGTGGAAAACATATAGGGAAGTTTATCACAACCGTTAATTTCAAAGGAACTAATTACATCTTCAGCAACTACGTGGTTGAGTGGTCTCAAACTATTGATCTGTTGGCATGAAGCGTAGCTCACAATTGAACGTTATTCGCCGTGTTGAAGCTAGTGAGTTTGGGTCATCTGGACTCGTCAAGTGTAAATTAATGAAAATAACATTGAAAAAGTAAAACCTTACTGCTTAAGCACTACTCGTCGTGTTCCGTTTCCCTTGCTGACAAAGAATGAAGAACTCTCAAGAATGGAGGAAGAAGGCATCATACAAAAAGAAACTGAACCTACTGAATGCTATGCCCCCATGGTACCTGTTGTGAAAAAGAATGGGGAAATCCGGATTTGCGTGGATTTAAAGAAATTGAACTCTATGCTCCCTAGCTTGGGCGGTTTTTCACCAAATTTGTTGGAGAAAAATATTTCCCCAAACTTTATGCCTCCAGTAGATTTTATCAAGTACCGTTGCATGAAGACAGCTGGAAGCTCACTACATTCATAACCCCACTGGGCAAGTTTGCTTCAAGAGAGTTCCATGTGGGATAACATCCAGAAATATTTCTACGAGAGAATCAACTCTACAGCAAGGCATTAAGGGCACCGAAGCCATCATGGAGACATTTTAATATATGGAAAGACCCGTGAGGAACACAACACTCGCCTGAAGAAAACACTTTACAGGATTCTAGAATAATTTAATGATTTGTTCTGTTTAGGCCTAATTTTAAACTTTTTCTTTTCTCGTTTGAGCGAATCTCGAAGCTACCATCACTTGCGATGCATCTGCGTTATTTCTTAAAACGGCCGCTACACTGATTTCAAAACGAAAGCATTCTGGGAAAAAAATGATTTCTAATAGCTTAATGTAAATGCAACACTTCGGCCATATTCCCAGATATTATTTCTTTTCTGCCGGACATAGATATAGAGCATCCAGTCACATGTCGCGTTTAAACTGATGAAAGTGCGACAAAAAAGTGGAAAATAAATATTATTTATGATTCACAGTTGAAACTTAGACATCCCCCAATAGAAATCAATAATTTATATCTATTTGTATTATTTGAAAATATAAATATAGCTGTAATTAAAAGATTTGGTTAAAAAAGAACACAAATTTAATATTTACAGGTAGTGAACGTTCAGTTTTATTCCTTCTATCTGGACAATCCCGTAGCTTGCAGCATCCCGTGGAACGTTTCTTATCGATTACCGACAGGACCTTCTTTTTCTTCATTACCAGGTTGTTTCGCGAGGATTGTACAACTTGTTGATAATGCTTTATATATGGAACACAACTTTTATTTCAAAATATATGATTGGATTGGTTAATATGTGGATACAAATAAAGTGGAATAAATATACAATACTCTCTCTCTCTCTCTGTGTGTGTGTGTGTGTGAGGGTGTGTGTGTGTGTGTGTGTCTGTCTGTGTGAGGCATAGTAATGGAGGCTAAATTCAGAATTGAATTGAATTGTACCTTTGAGTATGAAATCTGTTCTATTAGATGACTTCAAAATGATTTAACACGTTTATTTGGGAGATAAATATGCTGTATAAAGACATACTTCGATAGTATTTGCGATGCTGGTCATGACTAAAAATCGTGACTTTTTATGGGATCTTATATACAACTCGATGTTTTAGACACAAATCGATATGTCATTAGAAATAGAAATAATATCATCTAATGAATGAATTTCAAACAAATGAAAAGTGGTTGCTTCGCTTCGGCAGTACTCATGTATCTTTGAATAATTGAGCTTTTTTTAGAGAGATAAAAAAAAAACTAAGCACATTTTTCTCATCTCTACATTATGAATTCAATTTGGACTCCTTAAAAAAAGAACATGGGTATGAAAATCTTCATTCAGTTGACATGTACCTCGTTCATCAGCATTTCAAAGGCTGTGCTTTGCTTTCGATTTTTAGGACTTAAAAAAATGAATAAATAAATTTAAAAAAACAAACAAAAGTGTTTCTGTGACAATATTTCTCCTTTCTTCAACGGCAGATAATAAATGCTATAATGACTCATTATATTTAGCAATGTTTTTAAGTTTTGTTGTGTATTATTTGTGTGTAAATCACACAGACTTGTCACGTAGGCATATTTCATGAAGCGCGCTAGCACGGGTAAAGTGATCTTTATGTGACGCTCTGCTCTGCAGGCGACGCAAAAAGCAGTTCTATATAGCAAAATATGTACGCAACACATGTCTCAAGGTATCTCACTGATATTTCAAATACAATGACAAACCACTCTTGACTAAGGGACGCTATTAAGGACATACGCAACGTAGTTTGAACTTTATTGTCTTTTCCCTGGAGTTGAAGAGTTCCAATACTTAAAGGAACTGTGTGCTACATTTTAATGTCTATATATGCTGCTGTACACTTCTTCTAAAACAAGTTTGGATAAACAAAACATTTAGAATATATGTTTAGTATTTTTGCATATTTTTTTTGAATTATACAAGAATTTTCATCAATTGATATCTTTTCAAAACCCCTGGTAATGCATGCTGAATTTTTGTCTACGAACATCTGATGGCATTATAATCTTAAATTAAGAATATATTGAAAAATTATCAGTAGGTAAGGTACGTTGCGTATGTCCTTAAATTCACCACTGTCTTTCTAATTTCTTGATCAGATTCAAATTTGCTTCATTGTAAGGTCTCATTAATAATAATAAGCATAGCCCATTGTTTCTGCAAGATTTGGTTCAGGTAAGAAACAAGACTCTAGAAATATCTAGGCCAAGAACTACTAAGTATAGTAAACTGTCTTTCAACTACAGCCGCTGCTTCGTGGAAATGCTTAACTAATTATGCTAGGGACCTTTCCACCTTCAAGCAGTTGAAGTCTTTCATCGACACATGGAGGGGGGGGGGGACGACTGCAAATGCAGTTCCAGCTGAAGCCACATCTAGGTGTTGCATACATGTAGCTGATCAAACAATATTTTGTATTTCACACTTTTTTGCAGCTTGCTTTGTACTTAAGTTATGTGCAGTTTCAACTGCTTTTCTGATATCTTGTTTTTTATATTTTTTTTCTAAAGTTATTATCCTTTTTATCTCATGCTCTATTTTTTTTTTCTTTGACTGTTTTCGAACAGCATGGATCCTGGGAATTAAAACTTTTGGAGTACTCCTGTGAGACAGAGGTGAAGGCTCTCCAGGTTCTAGTTTCTTTTTATTTCTGTTGTGTTTATATTGCAATATGTCGAGAGGTATTGATCTAAGCAGATGGCAAAATTTGTTGTCAAAATATTTCTTTTTCCTTTCTACTTCGATAAATGGTCATTATTTTGGTGTGAATTTTTAGGTTTTCATGCTTGCTATTTATAATTTATTATAAATCGTTATAATTTATTAAACAGTTATAATTGCAAGTACTAATGGTGCCTTACTGCTATGGATTAAACTGTTTCATTTTTTTCCATTTTTTAACCACTGGGCATTTTTATTCATGGTGTTCACAGGTATTATATAAAATTTTTGTGAAATGTTTTTTTCAAAATATTTTAAAAATAAAATATTTCAAGTTTGAAATCAGTTTCATGTCAAATGGCAAAACTTGCTACTTTGCTATGTTATGTGTAGTTTTTCATGAATAACTTACCGTTTTCTTTACATACTTCCGGTCGATTGCTTATGTTCAAAAGGAGTGTCTTTGAAAAAAGAAAGCCTGTTGTAGATATTTATTATCAAAGAATTGCAAAACTAGCAATACTTCTGAAACACTGAGTATTCCACTGTCTACTATTGATTAACGTGGGACAAAATATTTAAAAATGGAATGGAATTCGATAGAGGGAAAGAACTGGTAGGACAAGGCATGAAACTTTCTTTGATTTGTGAAGGTTACTTTACTGGGCCTACAAATTTTTTTCCTTAAATGAATTCCACTTCTTCTTTTAATATTTTGTACCACACTCATTCAATCTTTATTTCCCCCTTTCGGAGATTTCATGATACATACAAATTAAATATCACAATGCATAAAGAACATCAGAGAAATAAGTTATAGCAGGTCAAAATAGCATATATACATGTCAAAGAGAAATGAAAAAGAAAAAAAATAGGAAAAAATAGATAGAAAAGAAGGGAAAAAATAATCATATTTTTAGCGGACATTTACAACATTTTGAGTAGCCTTGCCATAATAGACAGTGGCACAAATTTTGAGCTTGTACAAATAAATTCTAAAATGTCATCTACCTCTGTTAAAGACGTTGGTTCAAGCTCTCCTAGAAGCGTTAAGTACAACTCCTAGTAACGTTTAGTACAACACGTCATTGCTTGACTGTGAGAGAACTACGTACAAGTGCACGTCAGGCTTTCTATATTCGATAGAAATAATTTTGAAAATCAGCAGACAGCAGGAGGTATATAAAATAAAGGGAGACTACCCATAAAAACTGCATGTATCATTAGAAAGTATGGGGTATTGTCATTAAATAAAATAGAATCATTAAATTATATTGTATGCTATTAATCAACATTTTAGATAATATATATATTTACATTTTAGATAAATGTATCATTAAATGTGTTTTGCATGACTAACTTTATGATATACTTCAAAGTAATATATTTCTTTGTGATATAATTTTCTTAGATACATGTAGTTGGTTCAAGAGCTTTATAGCATGTTTTTTGTTGCAATTTATATACGATGCATAAAATTTACTTACAAAGTTACTTTGTGAGAGCTCAGAAACGTTCCATTAATTGTGTTATGTAAAGGAAGTTCATCAGAGGTCAATTAAGAGAGCAGTACAAACACTGTTTAATTTTGTTAAGGTTTTGCATGGTAAAAATGTCAACTGGATATTAGATAATCAAGCAACTGTTAGAGTTGTATGAACGTGCATGATATATATTTATATTTTGTAAAAAAGGATGAATAAATGTGAATGTTCTGAGCATTTGTTCTAAAGCGAACAAAAATCAGATTATCTTCGTTGATGATGAATATTGGGGAATATCTGATCGTAGAGTTTTCAAAATACATAGAAATACCAAAGATTCTTCTGGTAATAGTAACAGAAATTCGTTAACTCAGAACACTGTCCTTGGAGTTTACAGGTTCCTGTGATGTCATATAGACAGGATTAATTTCCTCGTTTACCTTGTAAATAGCTTCCTAACAGATTCTGATTGCTAGAACGATCCATGAACTAAAGCATTTAAGTAAAATAAAAATAAAAACTTTTGCACCTACTGATAGAATACAGTGTTTGTCCAATATGTTCATCTGTACGACCTCTACAATTACAACATCATCGTTGTACAATAACGATTGGCGAAGGAACTACTATAGTCTTAGGGGAATGTTTTATTTATAGACGAATCACAGTTTATTTACTTAGCCAAGAAAAACAAAAAAGGTCTATCATTTAATTGGAGAGTGTAATTCAGGCTCCTACGTTCTGCAACGTCAGGTTTCACGTACATGTAGAGGTGGATGGTATTACTGGGGGACACTGATGATCATCATTGGAAATCTCTCCAAAGAGTAGAGTGGCGATGCTATACAGAATAACATTACCCTAATCATTAGGAATAGGGGTTTCCAAATAATCTTGAAACATCTTATTTCAAGCCACATTTTGTTCTGCAACGAAGATTGAAGTTACAGTAACAAGGCATTTCAACTAATCTTACATCCATAGATCAGTGATACGACCTCTTTTTGTATTCTTATCAAGCAGAGTTTATTTAAAAATATTAAACTCGAGAAAACGAAGACTCTTGCTGTGGCTTTCAATTCAACATTTCGATGTATCGACGACGTTTTATCAATTAACAATAGTCATTTTCATTTTTATGTCAACTTGATATTTTGCCGTGAACTCGAAATCAGTCACCAAAGCGTTTTCCACATTTATTTCATACATAGATGTTTTAGTGACAGTAGCCATTAGGGCCCACTAAGAAGTAAACTTCATGACAAATGGGTTGATTTCAGCTTTTCCATCTTTCAACTTTCTCTTTATATGTAGTAATATTCATTAAATCACCTGCATATGGTGTTAATATCTCCTAGCTGATTTCATATTCAAGAGCATGCTCTGAGTACGATCAATTTATAAACTGAGACGGGCTTCTGACAAATACCTTGATGTTACAGGGTTTTTTAAACTATCTCTTTATAAGTCAGCATTCGGAAATTCTATGGTCGTTATAATGACCTTTTGGATCGTATTTTACAGACATGTTTCCCATCAATTGTTAATCTATCTTTGGATCGTATTTTACAGACATGTTTCCCATCAATTGTTAATCTATCTTTGGATCGTATTTTACAGACATGTTTC